TAAGGCAATGTTTAATTTTAATAAGTCATTGTTTAACTTATCTCATAAATCGTTTTATAATGACATTGATATTCAAATTTTAGACGAAGCCAGAACAGTTGTTCCATCTGGCTTATTGTGCGATAGGGGCGATATCAAAAATGAAATCGAAATCGATATGTCAAAAGCATTTACTCATGCGTTTATTACTATATCAGAAATACCAGTATTTAATCAATTCGACATATGGCGATCGTTTGATGATACAACTGATATTTATGATCTACACGACTTAACGTTATATTATATAGAAAAGAAAACTACTATACTAAAACGGACAGGAAGAATGCTATTTAATAAAACATATTGCTCAATATATGGTGTATTTTTGAAAAATTAGATAACATGACAAGAGAACGAATTAGTATTTTATGCTTTAAAAAACCTTCATTTATTCACAAAGTCGATCATAAAAATATTGTTAATGAACTTTGGAACACAAACATTAGCGAAGACAATGAAGAAGATAAATGTATAAAAAAACTGATCGCAAATGTTAATTATGGACTTTTAGAAAAAGGGGGAGCAACTGACCAGAAGAGCACAGTGTTTAAAAATCTTAAGGAAGCTTTAAACTATCAGGCAGAGTATGGAGGCAAAATACACAAATTAACACATTTCACGACAGAACAAATTACAGTAGATGAAGAACAATATACAGCAGAAGAAGAACAGGCGTCATATTATATACTTAATTTAAAGGATACATCACGCTTAAGGAATGGTTTTAGGTATGTAAAAGAGCTACTGCTTCAATACCATAATTTTAGAATGTATCAAGATTATTCTAAATTGTATCAAAATGGCATTAATGTGTTCAGTGTCAAAACAGATGCATTTGTAATACAGCGATCGGATATAACAAAAGCAAGAGAGCTTTTAATCTTTAATAATGAAATAGGAGGTTGGCGAGTTTCAAATGACGAATCTATTAAATTTCCTACTGTAGACTATGAAGTTTCACAAAACGAATTAATACAAATACCAGTTTATGAAAGTAAAACTATTGATATTGTAGATGAATATGACACAGATAATATTATTGAAATTATTAAAGAGCACAATATTATGATGATTAGGGGAGAAGTGCCCGGCACAGGAAAATCATATATATGTCAAAAAATGGTTGATAAAAAATTATAAAGTAATCTTTGTAACACCTACTAACAAATTACTGCAGGCATTTGAAGGAGAAGCAATGACGATAAATAAATTATTTGGTATAAATTATGGAGATGCTAAATTAGAACCATTTGATTTTACAGATTCCGACGTTATAGTATTTGATGAAGTTTATTTTAGTAATTTAAATACATACTGGAGAATAAAACAATTTGTAGCACAGAACAAACACAATAAAATCATAATAGCAACAGGAGACGCCAAGCAATTAAAACCAGTTCAAGAAATAACCAACACTCAGGATTATGAAACATACACTGATAATATAGTTAATCATATTTTTGAATATAACATTTTGTTGAAAGAATGTAAAAGACTTAGCAATGCAGATGACAAAATCAAACTCAAAAACATTTACAATGATATTTTGATTTACAAATTACCTATTAAAACAATTATTGAAAAATATTTTACATATACAACAGATATTAGCGGGTCAAAAAATAATATAGCATTTTTAAATACAACTTGTAAAAATGTGTCTAACGAAATTAGAAAATTAGAAAATAGAAAAGATGAATATGAAGTAGGAGAATGTTTAATTTGTAGAGAATATACAACAACTAAAACATCATCAGTTTTTAATGTAAATTTCAAATATAAAATTGTTCATATTGGAAGCGATGGAATTTTTACGTTAAAAAATGTTAAAACTGAAATTTTACAGTCTTTGCCAGTTGATAAAATAAGAAGTAATTTTATATTCGCATATTGCTCGACTTGTCATTCTGCCCAAGGCAGTAGCATTGATGATACCATAACAATTTTTGATTATAACCATTTTTTGGTAAAGAATTATCCAGAATGGATATGGACTGCAATTACAAGGTGTAGAGATTTAAACAAAGTCAAATTTTATAAATATACGAAAGATATTGATGATGTATTTAATCAAAAATGTATTATGAGTTATTTTGAAAGGAAAATATTAAATTACAAAGAACAAGACAGGAAAGCCAAAAGAACAATACCTAAAGAAGGTTATGTAAATGCGCAATGGTGTTTAAATAATATCACTAATCAATGTAATTACTGCGGATGCGGTTTTTCTATGGATATGAAAAATGGCAATATAATGACAAATCTGACAGCCGACAGCGCAACGTAAATCAAACGAGTTGTCACACGAACTGAATAATATTATTCCTTACTGTGTTAGATGCAATTGTAGTTGTAAATGATAATAATTCAACTAATATTTTAATATTTCTTGTAAAAAAGTATTTAAATAAATAAACACTATATATATTATAATAGAAATGGTGGAAACCGAAATCAATAATTATATCAATAAGAAATGCTACGACTGTTGCCACTTCAAAAAAGAAAATATGGAATTATACAAAATGAATTTACCTAATGGAATAGTTAATCATATTATCGATTATGCTTTGAGTGAAGAAGATGAATGTAAAATTTGTCAGGAATGGAGAGATAATCAAGAATTAATCAGATATCATTTAAATCTGGAAAGAAGAAGTAATAGAAATGTTGAATATGAAATTTTGATATTTCTAACTGTGTATGGAAGACCACCTTATAGTTATGTTAGAGCATTTCTCAAATTCAGTAAGAAAAGGTATGAACTGATTGACCACATTTTATGGATGTTGTTACATCGTAGAAGAGAAGGGTGTAATTTAAAAGAAGACACTAAATCATATATTGAAAGCAATAAGTTTAATGTGAAAAATACCGTGATAACTATTAATATTATTTTTGAACTGATGCATGCCAAACGTAAGATATATACACAATTTAATAATCATCAATTAACTTATTATCCTGAACTTAAATTATAATCATACCATAATAATAACATGTAAAATATTATATGTTATAATTATATTGCAATATTTAATTTTATGTCTTCTAAAAAGAAATATTTAAATAAATAAACACTATATATATTATAATAGCAATGGTGGAAACCGAAATCAATAATTATATCAATAAAAAATGCTACGACTGTTGCCACTTCAAAAAAGAAAATATGGAATTATATAAATTGAATTTACCTAATGGAATAGTTAATAATATTATTGAGTATTCTTTGGATAAAAAAAAAAATATGTAGAACATGTAGAAAATGGAGATATTACCAAGAAGCAATCGAATATAATTTGGACATTAAAAGGCTTAATGAAACAAATGTTGAAGATGACATTTTGATATGTTTAACTGTGTATGAAATACCACCTTATGATTATGTTAAAGCATTTCTTGAAATCAGTAAGAAAAAGTATGAAATTATTTACTACATATTATGGGCATTGATTTATCAAAGAAAAAGAGGGTTTGATGTAAAAAAAAAAATCGTTAAATCATATATTGAAAGTGAACAGTTTAATGTTAAAAATATGGTGATAGATATTAATATTTTTTTAAAAAAAATGATGTATGAAAGAGGTAAGATGTATCAATTAAATAGTTATCCTGAACTGAAATTATAATCGTACTATAATAATAACATGTAAATATTATATGTTATAATTATATTTCAATATTTAATTTTATTTCTTGTAAAAAAGTATTTAAAGAAATACACACTATATATTATAATAGAAATGGAACTTAACAATTTACCATTAGAAATTAGATTGAATATTATGTCATATAACTGTTATGATATATGTCCTTACAGGTATAACGATATCATTAAACACCCTTTTCCAACTTGGGAAAAGGTAAAAAGAAATCCATTCTGGATAATGTCTTTGACTGAATATTTAGATGGTAAAACATCTGAATATGAAATATACTTAGAATTAAAAACATTTTACATCATTTTACGATTATTCTTACATATTTAATATTGAATATAAGTTTAAGCATCTATGGTTTATTAATAATATTGATGATATAACATTAATGATAGAAAAATACTGACAAGTCAATATTATGACGCTACGAGAGCACTTTTATCAATGATGCAATTTAGAACAGAAGCAGAATGGCATATCCGGTTTGATCATATATTAGGCACTGAAGACTTCTACAAAAGCAAAGAAGAAGTTAGCGATAATGAAAGTGTTGGTAGCTATTATTAATTTCATAACCATACTATAATAATAACATTTATACCCTTATATGTTATAATTATAATGTAAGTATAGCGTTTTATATATTGATGATAAAATCCTACAAGGAGGACCACGCGCAACTTCGGAATATCCAAATGTTGAACAATGATTGATTATTAAGTCTCCTCATTGAATTATTGAAAATGTTGTTTCTTATTGAATAGTTCTTCTTAAAATGCTATATATATATTTATCTCTTAAAAAAAAAAATGTCTAAAATATTTTGGAAAATATGTGTTTTTGAAAATGAAAATGTTTAGGTGTATTGAGTTTTTCAAAAAATAATTCAAATTGTGTTTTGGTACGCTGTACTAAAAAATATTTATCAAAATGTGTTTAGACTGTTTCAAAATATCTTTTAAAATGGTTGTTTTGGGGCGCTTATTCAAAAAATGCAAAAACAAAACCTAGGGTGGACCCTAGACTTTTGAGTTCGAAAAAAGTTGCGCATGGCCTAACCTAACTGACACCCCCCAAAGAAACATGGCTTCGCTTCTCCTATCGGTTTCCGTTTAAAACCATCCAAGAACAAGGGAGCCTCCCAAAAAAAGAGACACCCCCGTCTAGGGTCCTGGCTTCCCTCTACACCACCCTCTAAACCAGCTCAGCTTCAAAAACCGATACTTGACGCAACACCAACCCCCGCGCCCTTTGTGGCAACTCGCCGTCGAAGCAACGAATCGAATCTCATGGCGCCTTGCACCTGGCCGGGTCCATGCCCGCGGGCTTGAAATGGAAGTCCCCCAGGGCCCTGCTCACCGCCTCGGCGTTTTTTTTGCGTTCGGCGAGCAGCCGCTGAGCGACGCCCCCCCACTCGGCCGCCCCCACTCGGCCGGCCGGCTCGACCAAGGAAAGCTCCGTCTACCCCACCCACCCACCCCAACTCCCCTGCCCTGAACCATTTTTCCGAAACCGGGAATACTCTATGGGAGACTTCCCCAAACCACTCTGCAGCGGCTCGCTTGGGAATTCAATCATGTAAGGACTCAGATCAGTCGGGTCCATCAAATAGCATTGTCGCAAAATCATAGGGGAACCCGCACGTGAATTCGATTAACTTGCTTTTTCCTCTATATAAAATCAACAGAAAGGGGGTTCAGTTCACTCACTCCTGCGCCCCCCGCCCCCCCGCTCTGGGCTTCCGACCAACGCTCCGTCCACGCGCATGGGGCCGCCGCCCAGGGGGCCCTGCGACACGGACCTGGCCCGGTTGACGAAGGAGGGGTCCCCTTTTTGGTTCTTTACGCAACAAGAAGCACCTCGTGAGAAATCTGCCAACGATATGAACTACAAAAGGGGCAACACAAAAATAGCACCGCCCAAACCTAGGAACCCTTTAAACAAAGGACACCACAAAGAAGAAAAAAAACACCTCCCCCCTCCCGCCTCCCGCAGCAAACCCTGCCCAAATCCAGGGCTCCGGGCCCGCCGGCCGCCTCGATGCGCCGGGTCTCGTCCTCGCGGTTCGGCTTGTGGTCCTGGCGAACACTCCGTCCCTCGACTCGGCGGAGGTGGGGTGTTGGGTGTGGCGTGTGGCGGCGTTGGCGTGTGGCGGCTTTGGCCCCGAACAGTCGGGACCCTCCTCCCCAAACCTCCCCCCATAACAACGAGTGTGTTTCAGGTAGCTTGGGGAAAGACACATCAACCAGGCATTCAGATTTGAGGCCACAATCGGCCGAGTCAGGGCCCATCCTGCAACAAGCTCATATTCACAAGCAGGTAACCGTTTGATACCCAAGACAATCCCGTCTTAAAAGAGGCACATAGTGCCCTCCAAAACCTGACCAATCACTACAATTCTTCGAGCTGCACCCATGGTACCTCATCTTCAGGCCTGGAAGGTAGGATGCTTTGGCAGTCCCTCACCTTTCAAATCCGGCTCTCGGCTAAGTAGCTCCCTGACGAATGATAGTGGCCTTGCCTTTCCAATAAAGATTGTGTCCTTGTGAATGCACATGTGTGAGCGCCCAAAACCCTTTGGGTGTAAGGGTGTCTGAAACCAGGTACTAGAACTAGGCCTAGAATGACCTTCCAACATGTCCCTTTTAAGGGAAACGGTTTTAGGCGCTGCAAAAGGTATCAATGGAAACCCCCAACCTGTTGGTTATCTGTAACCCAAGGTGAAAAGGGAAATTCCCAAGCCTCAACGACGAGCCACCAAAAAAAGAGCTCGAGCGTGCAAGGAGAAGCACGCACGCACTGATTAGAGAAACACCCCGAACCTCCAAAAATCCGCCTCCAGAAACCTCCAGCCGAGATTAGTTTTTCCCCTGGGAACGAATTCCATTCCCCCGCGCCTTGGAGCAGAAGAGGCGGCCGCCTGAGCACGCGCCCGCGCCAAAGCACCCAGCTCACCCGGAACCAGGAAAGCTCCAAACACGCCATCTTGTCAAGCTCCAGGAAGTCGAGTTGGCCAAAAATGGCCAGGCGCGGGCGAAAAAGCGTCGCCAGCGAATCGCAGAATCGCAGGTGTGGTGGCTTCTGAAAAATCGATGGCTCCAAACATAGCCGGAGCGTCGGATGTCGTCAGTTCTTGCTTTTGTTTGATTCAGGATCCTTAAATCAGCATGATCGCCAACTTGCGCTCAGAACTCAAATTGGGAAGCCCCCCCTGGGGTCTTGCTCCTCGAGCCCCAGAGGAGAAATCATCCTTCAGCGGTCCCCCGTTTGTCGCACCCGGCTGGACGTCCTTTTCTGAAAGTTTGAAGAGCTCCCCCTGAAATAGGTTGCAGCTTTTGATTGCAGAACATAGAGCCCATGGGGGCTGTTGGTACAAATACGTCAAAGTGAGCGTTCAGCACGATCCTCTCGTTCCTTCTCACCCAAATGCATAAATCCGCTGGGCCGCCAAAACGCTGCGGCATGGTGCGAACATCGACCTTCACGTGGGCCGCCAAAACTTCAAAACGAAAGACCCCACGCGCCCTGCATTTTGGGGCCCCTGCCGCGGCAGAGGACGGCGCGGGAATCTCCAGCATGCGCCAGCTGCACCGTGTACCTCCGAGGCCAGAGAATAGAGGATCTGGCCGTTGTCCAAATGGGCACCCCCCTTTTTGGTTCAAAGGAAAGTCAAAAGTACAAAGGAAAACTCGAAAGGACCGTCCCAACAACTTTTTGGCAACTCCGAATTGGAGACCCCCACCCACCCCCCCCCCCCGCACGTTTTGTTGGCCATCCCAGCCGGCGCACTGCGATCTGCTGGGCGTCACGATGCAAGCTACCACCGTGCTGCCACTCCGGTCCTGGACATGAGAGCTCAACGCTTCCGCAAGCCCAACCAATTGCATATTGTTCCCAAGCCTCACATGGCTGTGGCTCAAAACATGTAACATGGCCCTAAATGGAAAAAGACCAAAACCCTGCGTAACCCCTGCTGTTAAATATTGAGCCACACCCAAATCTTCGGGCAAGCCTTGTGCCAGAGCAGCTCTCTTTGACCGCAAATGAACAGAACCCGCAAACAACCAAAATAAACCATGGACAGAGCCCGCAACACAAACAACAAAATAAACCACTACTCGTATATCTGCCAGCCTTTGGCATGTGAGTTCTTGTTCAGCCCTTTGCGTTTGGTCTCAACCAGCTTTCGCCAAAGACTCCAAGTTCGCCCTAGGAAAAGTGTGAAATCCCGGTGCGCAGCACAGGGCAAATCGCTAGGCCATCCTTTTGCCTGAAAAGCGTAGCGTATGGCTTAGGCCTGAATGGCAGCCGGTACAGCGGGCTATGTCTCATGCGTGCAAAACACTCCATGCCATCATCCCTCAGTCAAGCTGGCTTTTACAACTGACCTTTCTTTTGTTGGCTGAGAGGGTGATGGTCCAGGCTTCCGGAAAAAGGTGATAAGCACACTAGCCGGCCGCCCAATCAGTGCTTGAGCGTTCTGCAAGGTCTTGGTGTCCACATCGCGCTCCAACTCACGCCACTCCGAGTGGCCGGAAGGCTCATCAAACCTGGCAAAGGTGCTCCGCATGTAGTAGACGGTCGGGTCAAAGCGCGGCTTGGGCAGCCTGTAGGACCTTGCAGACCTGGCAACGTGAATGCCAACTCCGTCCTGATGATGCCAACCCGGGCGTTCTCCCAGCATCAGCAATCGGTTGAAGATCTCATCCTGCGCATCCAGCGGCCGTCCGACGACCACTGTACTGTCTTTGAGCTTGGTGACCTTCTTGTTGGTCTGCTTCACAAAATCCGGCCTGTACGTCACGCACCATTCACAGCTATTCATGATGCTGTGGAGGTGATCCGTGTCCATGTCCTTGGTGCCGGCGTCCACGAACATGTTCTCTGCGCTTGTCCAACGAAGTTTGGTGAGCTCCCTCCGCAACATTCCACGAAGCCAGGCAACTGTGAAGGCCAATGACTTCTGGGCTCCATACGAAGGCGTGTCACTGCAGCCCTTGTCGTAGACATCCTTGGCGTCTGTCACCACTGTGAGGGGCACAGTCTCCAGGTACTTGTCCACGTGCTTCTCAGCCATGGGGCAGCCGAGGGACTCCGCGATGTAACCACGGCAGTAGCGTCCAACATCCATAGCTTCTTCCACCCCAAGCAACTCTGCTGAGAAGGTGCTTCTGCAAACTCGTTGAAGACGATGGCTTCGAGCATCAAGCACCATGAAGCCACCCTTGCGACCAGCCATCAAATCAGCGCTGGCGAGCAACACGAAGTGGGCCGCCTGGCTGTAGACCTTACGCACTGGCTCAGCATCTGTGCCACCGTCACGTGTCACATTCCCCAGACTTGCATCAGACACCACCATGATTCCGCAGTTCCGCAAGTCCATGGGCTTGAAGCGCAGCTCAAAGTTGGAGTGCTCCTTGAAGCGTCTCAACAACTGGTTGGCCCTGAGCAACGTACCAACCACTCTTCGTTCACCTTGCAAAACCGACAACTGAAAACCCATGTCAAATCTGCAGTTCGCCACCAACCCCTGAAGGCTGCCAAGAACTGCACGACATTGCTTGAACTCTGCGGGGGTAAGCGCAGCTTCCGGATCCTTCCGCCTTGCCAAAGGAACCTCAACGGGCTTCAGGTTCTCACGATACTCCCGCATGGAAATGCACACATCCCCGTTCGGCTTCTTCTCTATCAGCTTGCCGCAGTAGGTGAACTTGCCGGTCTCAATGGAACCAAACGTCAGCTCTTCCCCAAGCTTGTCCAGCGACTTCTTCGCCTCTTCGTTGCCACCCATGAGCAAGTCGTCAACATGAGAAATGATCAAGCCCAACAACACGGCGCGGTTGGGGTTCCACAGCCACCGCATAGCAGCATCTAGGGCCGAGCGTTCCCAACCCAAAGCGGTCAGCGCCTTGGTGAATCTGAAAGGCCAAAGATGCCCTTCTTCAGTCTTGCTAGACCACCTTGTCCAAGAGGTAGCTGCGGCTCATCTCCCATGACGGTCCTGATCCACCCAATGTACAACTCTCGCTCATGAGGACCAAACAACTCACCCTTGAGGAAGGCGCTCTTCACATCTGCCGACCACAATTCCCATCCAAAGGAGGCGATGAAGGCCAGCAGCAAATGTTGTGAAATTCTGGAGGCCGTGGGAGCGTCTTTCCGAACTGCATAGGCCGTCGGATCCCGGAATCCCGGAACCACTAGTCGAGCATTGGCTTTCAACGGCAAGGGCCTTGACTGCGTCCGCAATCCATCATGCTTGTCCGTGAAGACAAAACGAGGGGTCAGGATCTTGTGCGTTTCATTGCTCGCCTTCAACCTTTCTCGCACGTCCTTTGCCTCTTGCTCGGACAACACTTCCACAGCATCGTTGTCCTCCCAGACTTGCCCTCCATCTCTTGCAGCCACAGCGAACGCGCGCTTCTGTTCAGCATCAAGGCCTCTCCACTTGTACTCCTTGCGCGCTGTCTGAACTGCTTGCACTTCATGATCTCCACGAGGCCATTCACACCCAGCTCGTTCCATGGCTTGCCAGTAGGATCTCGAAGGAAGTGGCCAATCTCCACGCCAGGAACCGTGATCGAGTACAACTCCATCGAGTGGCGAAAGCCGATCACGTAGAGCTTGATCATGAAGTTGCCATAGAGGATGATCAGGAGGGGGAAGATGTACCGCTTCCGACACATCAAACACCATTGGCTCAGCGGATCCACCAGGTTCCGGAAGGGCTTCAGGAGCTGGGGCCTCTGTGTCATCTCGCAGGGCTTCCGCACCCACCTCCGCGGGCCTCTTCCTGCTACTTGCGCTCTCCGCATCAACATCTCGGGCTCGAGCAAGAGCGCTTTCAAGAAGTCCACCGCCTCCAATCTGGCTGGCGGTCCGGATCACATCTGGCACAGGTGTGCCAGGTGCAGCGGTCGATTCACCATGTGGTGGAGCCACCGTACTGGTCCTTCTGGAAGACACCATCGGGGTACTCAAACGCGAAGTCCTCGGAGTGCTGAAAGTTGAGGATCCCCGGAAGACGGCAGAAGCAAACTCACGTGGTTGTACAGGAGGTAGATCACTAGGTCGTGAAGCTTGCCCCGGCTCGTTCAAGGGTAAAGTACTCGGCGTAGCCTCCCCGGTTGCTTCTCCAGAAGGTGCTGGTAGTTCGTGAGGTTGTGCACCATGTGGTTGTCCTTCATCTCCTTGAGGTGTGCCACGAGCAGTCATGTCTCGAATGGCTGCTTCAACCACATCTTCCAGGTGTCTGCGGAAACCTGTTCGATTGTGCTGGCAGGCCGTACATGTTCAACAGCACATTTGGTGAGCTGTCCTTTGAAGCTCACGAAGACGTTGGCGTGGCCCTCCTTGGCGATTAGTAGAGCCGGTCCGTGCCATCGACGAAGGCTGAGTCGCTTCTTGGAAGGCGAGGTCTTGTTGTTGTACTTGGAGTTCCTGAAGTAAACGACCATCCCAGGTTCAAGCTGTTGCTGATGTGTGGTGGTAGTAGATCGTGATCTCGCAACTTCTGCTCGGCGAAGACCTCGGCTAAAATGCAACCTCGTCATAGCTACCTTCGCAGTCTCCCGGAGTGCCATCTGCCTCATCAAGTTGGGCCTGTGACCATCATCGATCAGCCCATGCTCTGCGAGTCGCTGTCCAACATCGCCAAGAACATCACCCACCATACGCGGTTGCCGTCCAAGAGCAGCTTGTGCAGGCGTGACGCCCATCTCGTTGATGTCCCCGTTGTAGGCAGTAACCGCTTCCTGCAGAGCAACGTTCAAATCTTGTTGGCCCGTCACGGAGTGTGCCTTGACCAGAGTGTGAACCAGGCCTTTGAGAATGCCACCAGCTCGTTCACAAACTCCGTTTTGCCAGGGGGCTTGCACCGCCGTGTGCCAAAGCAAGATAGAGTGCCTAGCACACATCTCCTCGAAGGCGTAGGAGATGAATTCTCGCCCCTGGTCAGCAACAAGTACCCGAGGAGGTCCAAACACGGGCAACCATCTTGTTGTAAACCAGGTCACGATCTCGTCTGAAGACTTCTGCCTCACCACCTCTGCCATCTGAAATCTCGAGGTGAAGTCCACCGCGTGGATGACGTAGAAGTTGCGGCCGAGAGCGTCAACCGCTTCGAAGATGTCCACGCGGACCTGGTCAGAGACGTCTTTGGGCACAGGCAAGGTGGCAGGCCTCCTTGTCTTCGGCTGTCTCTTTTCATCACAGATAGCGCATTTCAAACGCTTAGCAGCGACAATAGCTTGGGCAGGAGCTCCGGAAATGGCAAGTGCTCGGGCGAGACGTCTGTTCGAACGATGGCCCGTGTTCTCATGGAGCTTCCGCACAGCTTCCTTGACAGCTGCTGGCACCTGCAAGTCAGGAACTTGCATCTCCTCCTCCTCCGACTCACTCCCAAGTGGAAGAAGGGCAGGTGCTTCATCATCTTCTCCGTGTTCACCTTCATCTTGACCTTCAGCAGCGAGTACTTCCCGCGCTTGTGGATGGTCTCTTTCGAATTGAGCTTCCATGCCCTGCACCAAGGTTCTGGCCAAAGCTCTTGGGTAGAGTCCCGCAGCGCTCGTAATTCGGGAACCACCAATCACGTGAGCGTGCGTGTGGTCGCGTAAGCACTTGAGACCATGAAGGCGTCGATGAAGTTCAGAGCTGCTGGTTGCGATCTTCGTTGCCTTCCGATGGAGTTCTCCCGAAGCACTTCGAAGGCCAAAGCGGCATTGGTGAAAGGCCGCCAACTCAGCTTCCTTCTCCTCCAGGAACTTGATCATCTCCGGAAGCTTCCAGGCTTCACTCGTGAGGGGGTTCTCCATGAAGTAGTGTCTCCCTCCACGGATCTGGTCCTGGGCAAGCTGGATTGCAAAGCGGATCAGCTTCAAACCTTCTTCACGCTTCTTGATGAGGTCACGTGCTGGGTTAAGCCTCATCAACGGACTCCAGGGACCACAAGGAAAGGCCAATGCAAGAAAGTAGGGCTTCTCCTTGTCGGTCAAGTTCTCGGGTGAAATCCCAACCGGTCTCCAGTGAAAAGGCAGCGCCGACCGAATGACCTTGACGGCGAGCCTCTTTCAGGATCGGCTGGGTCGTGGTGTAGACCTCGGTTACAAAGGTCCGGGGGAAGTCCACCGTGGCCATGAAGACTTCGTTCATGTAGCCATTGAATTCCTCCAACCACTGCTCATGCATGACATTGAGGATCTCCCTGCCATTCTTGGAGACCAGCTTGCGATCACGTTCATGTTTCTCCCAGGCCTGAGTCGCCAAAAGTGCCTGGCCGGGTTTAAGTTCCTGATGCAGCTTCCAAGGGTTGACCACCTCCAAATTCCCGTTCACTGATTCATCCCGCGGCTCAACTCCTCCTCCAGCACACCTGTGAGTCTCGCAGTTGGCTGTCCTGCGCGGCCATGTTGTGCCAAACAGTGCTGGAGTCCTGTTGCGTGTTGGAGAGGGCCATCACGCGCTGCATCACTTGAGAAAGCATCCCTTGGTACTTGATGTCCTGCTGTGCCAGTAGCGCGTGGACGTCCTGGACAGTGATGCCGTGAGTTGCCGATGAGGAACTCCATGAACCGACCTCGTCGTCCTTGGGCGCGCCCTTGGGAGTCATCTCCGTGCGCTCTGGCTGCTGTTGTGCTGGCTTGACTTCTGTTGAGGAACTCGCCGTAGAGCTCTTTCCTGGCTTCAACATGAAGGCTCCGACCACCGGTCGACACATCTGCTTGATCTGCTCGACGGTGGCTTTCCCCGGCACCTCGATGTGCAGTAGCGCAGCGAGCTTCAGCAGGTCTCCCTTCAACGTTGGGAGGCCTCCCCGAAGGCCATGAGAGATTGTCTTCCTCCTTTTGGGCCAGGATCTTGGCCTCCTTGATGGCCTCCTGCTTGATCTTGGCAGCCATGCCCTTTGAAGACCATGGGGTCCTCGAGGAAGCTGAAACGAATTCCCAGCCTGTTGCAAAGCCATGAGGCCGCAGTGAGGTTCTGCATGTTGTAGGCTCCATGCTTGAGGGCCAGTTCTGCATGTCTTCGAGAAAGGGCCTTGTTTTCCACCATCTGTTCGCTCTGCAACATCCACTGCCGTGTGGTTGAAACGCTGGGGTACGGGAACGGCACGTAGCGCAGAGACGGCCGTTGCAATAGCCACAAGAGCATGCCACGAACGTGCCATTGTGCTCGCCCGCGCAACCTTAGGACCATCCTTGCCCATTGCCCCTCCACGTTGACGGTTTCCTTGGCCTTTCGGAACATGGCTGTGGTGATCCGTGGTGAGGGGCGCTGAATCTTGGTTGGCCGTGATCGGCATTGCTGAAGCACCAGGATCACAACCGGCTGGCTGTCCCAAAAAGGACACATCAGCTGCAAGAAAACCTTGTTCCGTCACCAAATGCTCATGGGGCTTGTTGGAGATGGGGGTTGCACCGCCTTTGAAGTTGAGCTTGCGTTTCAACCACTCCAGCCGACTGGCTTGAACTTCAATCACTCCATCTTGCCCGAACCGTCTCCAAGGATCCCGGCCTGTCTCTGGCCAGCGGCGAGGCAGCAGCGGCAGCGCGAAGTGACCTGCCATGAGCTGTTTGAGCGGGATCAAGTAACCATCCAAGTTGTCCGCTCTGAGCATCTTTCTGGAAAAGCTCAACACCGCCCCAATGGCATCCAAGAAGTCTCGACCAAGAAGAAGTCCAAGGCTGGGCACCTTCACAACTGAAATCCAAGCCAGAACCAGGGAGTTGCCAACCATGATGGGCACCCTGACACGTTGCGAACTCCTCTGCGAACCGCCATTGCCAAACCTGAACAACTCATCCTCAGACTCGAACTTGATGAGGTGGCGAATCCAGTCGGGGGCCACTTCCAAATGCTTCATGTAGTGCCCTACCCAAACATCTCCAGAACAAGTTCGGTTGCAAGCGCTGTCCAACGCACCCATCAGCATTTTGTCCTGGGCGAGAGGCGCAGTCACAAGGGCCTCGTTGGGCTTGACCAGAATCTGGGGAAGAGGCGACCTGGCAAGGTGATGAGTCGCCATAACTTCATTGCCACCCTGCTCGTCCTCCTCCGGGTCCACCTCAGTGGTGAGAGCCTCAGTGAGTCTCACCTTTTTCGCCGCCTTCTTTGCCATCGGCGTACGTCCAAGTCCTTGACCCGGCTTCTTGCACTGCGGATCACCTTGCCAATGTCCAGGTTCTCCGCAATCGAAGCAGTTGGTCACAGCTTTGCGATTTGTCTTTCCGCCAGGGCCTTTTCCAACACCCTTGCCTGGATTGCCAGCTTTCCCATAGCCGCGGTCCTTGCGCACCTCTGCGATGCGATGCCTGGCCTCCCTCATTGTGACCAGACTCTCAGCAGCGGCTTCAACACCAGTCTCCAGCTCATTGACGAGGTTCGGATCAATCCCCTCGCTCTCGAGCTCCTGCAACTCAGCCGCAAGCACTTCCGCCTCCGACTGCAAGATGTCCTCCAGCGAATAGTCTGGCTCCTCATCTGGAACCAATTCATCCTCCTCCGGTTCTTGAGCAGGTTCATCATCTGCCTCCGCCACCATGGCTTGCTTGTGTGCACCAAACGCCGAAGAAGGTCTCCTGAAGGATCCTTTTCCAGAAGAGCCTGATGAAGGGAAGCTGCGCGATGGTCGGGTGCTCTGGCTAAATGAACTTCCGGATGAAGGGGCTGAGGTCCGATGCGAATACGGACCATGGTGATGATTCTGCGACAAGAAGCGATTCATGAGGATGCCCTTGTCATTGCTTGTCCGTTGCTTGTTGAAGAGGGGATCCGCAGTATGCAGATCACGGAACAGCCGCAAAACCTCGGCCTCGATTTCATCATAACCTTCACGGCCAGCAGGCGCCGTCTCCAGAAGTTGGCGCCTGAGGGGATCAAGCCCGAGGCGCTCTTTCAGAAACCACCCAAGCTCTTCCTTGGGCAATATCACGCCCTCACGCTTTAAGTCGGCTGCTAGGGTCCGGAACCTTGTGCAGAAGGCGCTGATGCGTTCACATGCCTGTCGGCGAATCTCCACATAGAACCGGGCCCTCAACTCTCCTTTGCGGTCCAGCTCCGACTTGCCAATCATCTCTTCCAACGCCTTGAGCAGCTTGACCAAACCAGCGAAGGGGTCCGCGGCCGTCACTACCACGGTAGCTCCGTCCTCGTTCTTTGTCGTCACCTCCTCAATGCCTTGCAGCTCAGAGGGGTCGTACTCCTCACAGCGAGCACGAACAACTCCGGATTGCCTCAAAGCCCAGCGAGCCGCGACATTGTACTTCTTGCAAGCTTCTGGATCTAATGAAGCCATCCACCAACTCATCTCTCGGCGGAAGGTCCGCCAGTCGGCAGGATTGCCGTCCCACGTTGGCACCTTGTACCAGGCGCTCGTCGTCTTGTCATCCTCCGCCATGAGGGCAGCAAAGTGCCGCCGGCTTCTCGGCTTGTTGGGGTAGTCCCGAGGTGGCCGTCTTAGATGGCCAGCACAAAGTAAAAAACAGTGAAGAGGGCGAAGCTGAGGTTCAGCTCCAGGGCGGTGAAAAGGGTCAGCCGCACTTACCGAAGATGCACGTGACCGCCTGGTCGAAGTGCTCCCTCAGCTGATGCGGTACTCCCTGAGCCCTCGAAGATGCTCCCGGCCGCCTGGCCAGCGAGCTCCCACGAAGGTGCAGGAAGAGGCGTGCAAAGTGAATGAGGATCAAGCGGCGCGTGCCAGCGAAGATCAGGGCGTGCAGCGGGGCGAAGCAGCGCAGCGAGCGAGCCTCAGAAGGATACAGGCTCCGGTGCCACTGTGAAATCCCGGTGCGCAGCACAGGGCAAATCGCTAGGCCATCCTTTTGCCTGAAAAGCGTAGCGTATGGCTTAGGCCTGAATGGCAGCCGGTACAGTGGGCTATGTCTCATGCGTGCAAAACACTCCATGCCATCATCCCTCAGTCAAGCTGGCTTTTACAAAAAGCAAACATAACGCTGTGTTCAGTCACCTTGGTATAGCACAAAGCGTGCAGCCCGCTCCCCTTGCAAAAATTTGAACAGAACCAAAAAAACGCAAGCACGAGACAAGGGTGGCCCGTTCTTCTTTTCTTTCAACCCATCACTAGAGCTATGCCAAGCTGTTGTTTGTTTGACCAAGCATTGGACCCTGCCGCCTGGCCGCATAGACGCCGCCTGTTTAAAGGGCCCCGCAGTTGAACCAACCCCACTGCCTTCCGGGGCCAACCCAACGACCGCTGACCCAACGACTGCCTCATTGCTCAGGTGATGGCGAAGCTTGGTGTCGCACTCGATGAAGGCTTCCTGGTGAAAAAGCAAAAACGCCCATCGCCTGGACGATTGGACGCGTGGCCGGAAAAATGGAGAGGTCCTGTTTGGAGCCGGCCGAATCCGTCTTGTTATTGTCTCGCTTTGTCAGACCTGTACAACATGCCCGCGGCGAAAAACTGATCAACCCAGCTGGAATGGCTACTTCACGGCGATTTGGCATCTCGTAACTCAGCTGACTGTCAACTTGCTGATGTTCAGTAGGGAATGAGGGAATGAACCCAAGAATCCCCTTCAAGGAAACCACCAGTTGGATGGTTGATAGGGCTTATTTGCCTGTGGGTCAAAACCCAGGACCATCAAAATTAGGTGGTACATGGGTGTTCATCCGCCCCAACGTGGGATCGGCACAGGTCATGCAACCCATGGCCATTTCAGTAGGGAATCAGAGAATATTCCCTGCTCTCGCACCTTGCGCCTGTGTCCGAGCGACGTGAAGCGCCTGCAGCAGTCGAGACGCCTCTGACGCGCCCGGGGCCCTCTCCGCCACCCGCCGCAATTGCTCCTGCGAGGGCATGTGGTTTTGCCCCTCTAAACCGGCCATGGGAAAAGATTTCCGTACCCCCAGTTGATCCCCACTAAAATAGGTTGGATCTACATGATTGCGACCATCAGGAACTTGTTTTGGGTCAACCTTGTGGGCACCTACGGCGTCAGCCCAGTTCTACTGGAGCAGGGTAGCGGCCTTACTAACACGGCTTTTCGTACCACCTCTCGGAGGCGTACCTGTGGGTCATGGTTTTTGTGGATGACTTCATGCTCCTCTAAAATGGGTGGTGAATTCACCTACCCCAAAATGGTACCGTTGGTTTTGACCCACAGCCAAACGGCAACGTCCTTTCGGTTTCCCAGAAGATCTGCTGAAAGGGTTCCCTAAAAAAACATATGCGGCACGGGGGGTGTAGGAGCAAGCAATAGCTTACCAACAAGCAAAAGATCATACACTCCACCCTATGGTTTTTACGCCATTTCAAAAGCACCGACCAAAACCAACCAAATATTTTTGGCATAAATCCTGCCATTTCAAATACACCGCCCATAAACTAACCAAAAATCACATATAATCAAATCAGCCCACCAGTATATCAAATATCCAAAAATAATTCATAATATTTGAAATATAATGAAATATTATTTACCGAGTGTCAGGTCCTTTCGTTTCCAATTTTTCCTTATGCTTATCTGTTCTTTCATGTCTTGCCTTGTTGCATGTTCTGACTTCACAATTACAAACATCACAATGATAAGTTGTTTGTGTGTATGCTTTTTCCCCTGCTTTTACTTCTTCGCTTTTCCTGTTTTCTCTCCTCCTTTCATTTACTTCATCCCTTCGTTCTACTGTTTGGCGATGCCATTTGTCCCTTCCCTTCTCACGGCACTTGTCGCAATTTTTGTAGGGTTCCGTGAACAATTCCACACGCCTATTTGATTGACAACCTGAGCAATATTTCTTATCCATAATCCTTACTATGTAAGGCATCATCCCTTTAAATAGTTTTAGGCACAAATAATATTTTTGCTCTGGGGCAAGACCCTCATAGAAAAAACCCCACCAAACAACAAACCACACAAAAAACCAAACAACAAACCATACAATAGATTTTTACAAACCCCTCTAAACAAAACGAAACGGCAGATGCACAAAAGCAACTGGTACATGCACAAAAGCAACTGGTAGATGCACAAAAGCAACTGGTAGATGCACAAAAGCAACTGGTAGATGCACAAAAGCAACTGGTAGATGCACAAAAGCAACTGGTAGATGCACAAAAGCAACTGGTAGATGCACAAAAGCAACTGGTAGATGCACAAAAGCAACTGGTAGATGCACAAAAGCAACTGGTAGATGCACAAAAGCAACTGGTAGATGCACAAAAGCAACTGGTAGATGCACAAAAGCAACTGGTAGATGCACAAAAGCAACTGGCAGATGCACAGTGGACGAACCTGCAAATTTCAAGTTTCAACACCAACCCCAAACTCGTTTTCCTTAATCCACCAAACTCAAAAATTTCACAAATCAAATCAGCAGGTATTTTGTATAAATCTTCCTGCTTATATTCCTTACGACCGGATGGCATCCGTTGTGCAGTTTCAATATGTTTGTTATTAACCACTTTACCACAATCTTTATTACATAAACTTCGGGGTTTCCATCTATCAAGGTTGTTCCACAACCTAGTGCGCTTCCTGTAATTAAAGCCATATTTACAATAGTCAATGTCATTAAACCTTAACCCATTCATAAAAGACTGACTTTTCAATAATCCTGTCTGTGGATTTTCAATAACAAAATACGGAAAACCGAAATAGTCAATTATCTCTAATGTTTTTATTACAATACTATTAGCGTATTCAACGTTTCTTATTCCCGTTGTTTTTGCAATACTGTATTCTGTGCAAGGTGGTGAACTCCAAATAAATTGAAAATGGTTTCTGTCAAACTGTTTGTAATCCCATTCAAGTATATCACAATTACAGAAAGGGACCCTGTGAGCGTTGGGTTTTTGCACACACCTAATTTTGCTGCATTCTGGCCAAAACCGAGGAAAAAAAAGGATTCTGGGACAATGTGCTGGTATCATGCAAACTGTTCTCCACCTTACCCCCCCCTTGCAGATGTCAGGCTCCTGTCCAAAACCGAAAAAAACATCGAGAAATCGAAAGATTCTGGGACAATGTGCTGGTATCATGCAAACAGTTCTCCACCTTACCCCCCTTGCAGATGTCAGGCTCCTGTCCCAAAACCGAAAAAAACAGCGAGAAATCGAAAGATTTTGTCCAAAACCAAAAAAAGCCTCGAGAAATCGAAAAAAACCAAAAAAACCAAAGATTCTGGGACAATGTGCTGGTATCATGTAAACATTCTGTTGGCCAGATTGGTTTTTTTGGTTTTTTTTCGATTTCTCGAGGTTTCTTTCGGTTTTGGACAAAATCTTTCGATTTCTCGATGTTTTTTTTGATTTTGGATGGTTTCTTTCGAATTCTCAATGTTTTTTTTGATTTTGGACACCTTCTTTTGATTTCTCGATGTTTCTAAGGCTGCCTGCAGCAAAAGCTTCAACACAGGACAGCTTTGCAAGAAAGAGCTTAGAAGGCTTTCAATCCCCAAACAACACAGAGTCCTTAGCTTCCAGCCAGCTTGCACCCAGCCCCAGCCCAGCTAGCTTAGAGAAGAAATAGTTCAGCGTAAAGAAGTTTTTTGGAACACCAGAGCAGCAAGCCAAGGAGATAGAGCCTGTGCTATCTAACAGGGTAGTTCCATACCAGAGGCAGCAGCAGAGCAAGCTGCAGAAAGAAGCTGCACTAGTGATGTCAGCTTACCTCCAGAAGCTAGCAGAGCGGAGAAAGAAGACCCAGAAGAAGCTGTAACAGGCAGACAAGGTGGCAGGCCTCCAGTTCTGGAAGAGCGTAGAGGAACTGCAGGTGGGCAGTTAAGCAACAGGAAGAAGGAGACAGATCCTTCCAGGAAGCAAGAGCTTTTTGCCTTTCAGAAGATGAAGCTTAGTGAAGAGATTCAAATGATTCTGGAAGAGTCTCAGCCTCAGAAGCAGAAGCTTGGGCAGTTGCAAGGAGAAAGTTCAAGATGAGCACACAGAGGCTGGAAGATTGCAGAAGAGGTTTGCCAGAGCAGCTAGTGGAGGGAGAAAGAGAGAGTTTAGCAGAGAGATCTCTCAACTTGGCAAGTGGTTGCAGAAAGAAAGGAGTTATAGCCACAACGTTTCAAAGAATGAGCTGCTGAAAGAGTTCTTTGCCCTTCTGGTTGCAAGGGCAGAGAGATGCATGGTCAGGGCAGAGCTTTGCAGAAATGAGATGCAAAGGAAAGCTTGGCTGAAAGAAGCTGACTGTGCCCTACAGAGAAAGACCAAGCTCCAGCAGAGCTCAAAGTATGCAGCTTCTTATGTAGAGAAGCTGATCCAATGGCTAGGTGCAGCTTACTTGAGCAAAGATCAGACTACTCGCCTGGCACCAGTTGAAGAACAGGCGCGGGCCCAGCCTTCCAGGATATTGACAGAAAGCTCTGGCATCTAGGTGCTTGCTCCAGTTGCTGAGATTGAAGATGCACATTTGGTTGCAGATGCAGAGATGATAGTTGAGAAACGATCCTCACTGGTAATCGGCACGAGTGATCAAGTCCCACTTTGGGCCCAAGATCCAAGCAAGAAGTTGGTCTTCTCTGCAGATGAGCTCAAAGGTGCCAGTTGGGACGACAGAAAGAGGTGGACTGAGATCAGGTAGGAGCTGAAAGCTGCTTAAGTTCAGGCAGCTGAAGAAGGTTACCAGCTTGTCAGTTGGGCAGATGTAGGAGCAGGGCCTCTCAAAGTTGCAGGTAATAAGGTGATGACAGGACAAAGTTCAGATGAAAAGTTTCGTTTAACATACGAAGCTTGCCAGAAGATTTACATCCACGATCTCCTTGAGATCCTCGTAGGTCATGTCTTCTGCTGCAAGTGCCATCTTAGCCCAGAGTGGAGGGTGGAACGACTCAGTGCAGGATGCAGATGGATGAGATGCTTTCTAGCTGGCCAAAGTTGCAGCGCAGATCGCGGTCAGAGGATATATACACACATAACTGCACACAACTCCCCAATTCGGAAAAACACTCGTTTCACATGGAAAATACCCACGCTGAGGGGGTCCCCCTCTCCACAATTAATATCAGCATTTTTTAAATCCAACGATATTACATTAAAACCGAGCGACTTTGCAATAAGTCCAACACTGCCTGTGCCTGAAAATAATTCTAATAAATTCATATTATTAGAATGATTTAGATATTTATTAGGTTGTTTCATATTTACCCTCTTCGTTCTTAAACAGTTTGTAATATTCTAATGTTTCAGATTTTGGTTGTTTGATACGCCCTTTGTTTAACATTTCCACATATTGTTTTTGTTTGTCTTCAAAAGACCCTTTCGGACGCCCTAATCCTTTCTTTTCAAAGATTTTATCCATCTTCTCCTTATCGTCTTCGTTATTGCTTTTAGGTTGGTTTATTTTTCATCAATAGTCTTAATAAGTTCAGTTAATGCTTTAACATTCTTACTAATAATTACAAGTTTTTCATTAAATCGTTAATTGTAGAATCACCATTTTCTGACATTTCTATATATAAATATTTATATAATTATTTATTTATTTATTTATTTATGCGTTTGAAGTGGTGTTAAATCTACTCTTCATATGATATTTTTCATCATTTCCCTTACAGTGTTCTGTGTTTCATTTTCACCATTATCGGATGGGGTTGCTTGCCTACCCCATTTAAAAGTTATATTATGAGCATCAGTTTCTAAGTTGATACTGTCTCTAGTTTTATCAATATTCATTTTCTTATCAATTTTACAAATTTTGAAACTTGTTGGAATACATGAACATTTAAAATTTCCTTTCTTTTGTATTTCTAATTCATTTTTCATTTCTAACATCTTTTTGCACATAGGACAAGCAACCTCAATAACTGCTGTTTCTTTAACAATTTCTCTGCTATCTTCATCTGTTGAA